TTAACTCCCTCTCCCCCTTCATAATTTCTTCCCTTTGCATTCATTGCTTTTGATTTTCCATCTTGGACAGTACCTTAAAAATGGAAGATTTGGGTTCTTTCTGGAATTATCAAGAGGTGGGTCTTCTTCTTCTTCTGTTTTGTCGCAATGTTGTTCTTTGTTTATGTTGAAGTTAATGGTTTTCGATTTTTATGTTTTGACAGAGTTTTGATGACTTGAAACTGAAGCTTCAATACACTGCAATGGAGCTACACTCTTCGAAAATGGAAGCGAATGAGCAAATAAGGAAATACAAGGAGGAGTTGAAGCGCATGCTCAATCTCCTGAACCTTGCTTACCAAGAAAGAGATGAAGCCAGAGACCAATTGCAGAAGCTACTCAACAAGTTAATGCCATGTGAAACCCCGTTTATGATTGCAGCCAAAACAAACTCCAGCATCACTGAATCGAACAGTTTATCAGACGCATATAATAATCATTCTTCCCCTGTTGATTCTTTGTTTGATGCCGTTAATTCACCGGATTTTCCCGCCGTTAAAATGAATGACCCGAGTGGAATGGGGCTTTTGAATCAACCCTTTGGGTTGGTTCCTTCAATGGTGATGACGACCAAGTTTAATGGTGAAACAGCTGTGATAAATAACCTTGCAAAGGGTAAAACTTTGCCGGAAAAAGGGAAGCTTTTGCAGGCTGTAATGGAAGCCGGGCCTCTCCTTTCGACGCTGCTTGTTGCCGGTCCTCTTCCTCAATGGAGAAACCCTCCTCCTTCCGAGACTTTCAAAATCCCCCCTGTTTCCATTTCTAAAACTGAGAATGAGACTCGGAAACGAGTGAACTCGTCATTGTGTCCTAAAATGACTCGTGGGACTCATCAAATGTGTTCATCGGCCATGTTGAGCTTTGCAACTTCTGGTTCTGCTTCAGGACTGAGTCACTCACCCATTGTGAGTACGAGTGCTTGTGCTAACACTCAAATCACAGTGACAAAGCGGCAAAGGATTTAATTTGGCTTGAAAGAAGCTTTGGCCTCATTTTTTGTAAAGATAAAAAAGTTGAGGGATGATGGTGTAATTTGGATACTTTTTGAGGGGTTGTATTGAATGAAGGGTGGATCATAGCCGTTTTAAACTTTTTTTAATTACTTGAAGTTTATTCCTTTTAAATGTATTTCCCCCAGTTTTTATTGCTCTACAAAACTCAGTCAACCAGGATGAATCCAGTTCAACTCCACTAGGAACCAATCATCAAAGAGAAACTTGTTATTAATAGGAATCATGAGTTATAAGAGTAATATTGAAGAAGTAAAATTGGAGAAGAAACAAGCGTTGAATGAAAATGAAAGAGAATGAAAAGGTTGGAGGGTGAAGTCGGTGATTGTCAGGCAGAGTGATGGGGACGCCATTAATGCCTCTTTCAGACCTCAATTGCAGCAAATAAACCCAACTTTCCACCTTGCTCCTCCAGACCACGATAGACTTCACCATGTTTCCTTGATTTGCTTTCACACCTGTGCTTTTCATGTTTTACTCTTTTAATGTTCGTTTTTCAGAAGAGTACCTAATATCATTTCCATTTAGAGATTGCAATTTTCAATATAGATTCCACTTCAGATGTTGACAAATATTTTATCTATTTAAATTGATTCAAATAATATTTAAACTTAAATATTAAAATTATAATATGATTTAAATCTAAAAAAAACACATGCAATAGAAACTCTTCTACATTAGTCACTGAATAAAGAATTTGAATATCTAAATCCATGATTGAAATTAGTCCAATTGTATCATCCTTATCCATCAACGTCTCCTAAGAATATAGGTTCAAATTCTATCCTAGTTGAGTTGTGATTATTCTTTTATATCTCTTTGAATGGTACTAAAAATTGTTACACGAGAACGTTTTTTTATTCTTTTTCTTTGCTACTCAACGTCTTTAGGGAGAACAATACTCTCTTTCATCACGTTTCTAACAGAAGAAAATTAAGATAAAAAATAAAATAAAATAAAATAAATCGTAAGAATGCAATAGCAATAGTTGGAAGACATTAAAATTTCATCATATTTGAAACTTATGCTACTACAACGGAACTTTCAACTATTCATTATTCAAATTTGCAATATTTAACCGAATAATGAAATAATAATTTTGCAAATTTCATATTTAATTTTGATCTATTTTGTATCATTTGGAACATGTTTGAAAAGTCATGATAATTTGACTTGGAGTGTAAATATATTCTTTAATTTTATAATTATTATTATTTAAAAATTAAAATTATGTAATTATAACTAATATTATTAAATATAACAAATATTAAAATATAATTATACTTCTCAAGTAAAACATATATAAAGAATTAACATTTACTGTAATTACACTTGATTATCTAAACACACTTAAAGTTTCAATTTTTAAATTTGGATTCAAATAAATCTTATCTGATAAAATCAATTTAAATCAACTTTTTTAATCACAAAAATAACATAGATTATTTTAGTGCTCAACGACAACGCACAGCATTATTCACCAACATTGGTTTCTAGTGACCCAGACAATACTTGAGAGAGAAATGAAGGCCAATGCGATGAGACACGAGAGGACTACGACAAGGAATGGTTGGGCAGTACCATTTGATCACAAGTCGACATTTAAAATGCAATCGCATTTCACTAGTCATCAAAGAGATTATATCTCAAGTAATAATAGCCAAAACTCATCCATTGAACCAATTAAAAGCTAATATATTAAATATTCCTGCTTAGTCCCAAAAGTACCTGTCTCTCTTTGCAACAAAAACAAAAAATAAACCCTTCAAAACAAGCTAGTCAACAACTGCTTAGATGATTCCAATTTTGTTTGCCACATCCAAGGCATCGTACTCTGGAGTCAACCTAACATATGCCTTCTTCGTGCCATCAGGCCTGCATCATAACAATGTCCACAATGTTGTGAGCATAAGAAGGAAACAAAGAAATGCTAAATGAATGGTTCATCAAGAAACCACAAATGAAGAACACAATCATAAGCAACTATATATGCCAGATACTGTTATGGTGAATTCAAAGCATTGTTTATTCTCAGTTCTCCATAGGTAGTCTTCTAATAACAAATATGTTTCCCAATGAGTGTCAAGTGATCTAAGTTAACAAGCAAAAATGAAGTTTTTTTACCTGATCAAGGTGTTAACTTTCTTGGCCTGAATATCATACATCTTCTTCACAGCATCTTTTATCTTCTTCTTGTCCGCCCGGATGTCAACAATGAACACCAAAGTGTTGTTGTCCTCAATCTTCTTCATAGCAGACTCGGTTGTGAGGGGAAACTTGAGAATCTGATAATGATCAAGCTTGTTCCTTGGTGGAGCACTGATGCGTGGATACTTGGGGTTCCTATCTTTCTTCAAGGTCCTTGGCCTGTGAAAAGTGACCTTGGTTCGGATCATCTTCGCCTTCTTCTTAAAAGTGGGTCCAGATTTCACTGCTTTCGCAGCCTTCAAAGCCTGTGCCTTTGGATCTGCCTTCTTCTCAACTGCATAATATACAAAATCCAGATAATTTAGAAGAAACCTAAGCAATGCATCTCCAGTACCATTCCAAAAAACCATATCCTATAAATATCACTTGAAATGAATTCTAAAAACTATATCCATTGACATATTCACAGGGTTCATTAGCATGCAAACAATAAACCAGAATAGTCCAATGGTAAAATCATTCAACCTAAATAACATCCAATCCAAAATATTTATATTTAACTTGAGAGGCATAACAAACAAATCGAAACAGGAACAAGTATTGCCAATATAAGTGTAAATGAAAAAACGAGTGGAAACAAAGTTATTAAGGTCATGTTCAAATCCAAATACCTTTGGGAGCCATTGGTTATTGCTGCCTCAACCCCTTCTAAACCCTGAATCAGTAAAAGATTTACAAAACAAATAAGCTTGAATTCTTTTACAATAAAATCGAAAGAAATGAGACGAAAGGCAAACCTGTGGATAGGAAGCGAGCGGCACTAGGGTTTGCTGGAGGCGGGTAAGTGGAAATTAGGGTTTATATAAATGAGCTTCTTAATCAGCTAAAATCCAATGGGCTATGATTAATGGGCCAACAAATCTAAAAGTGTACCCACTAACTAGCCGAAAGTCCGGTCGATGTGCCGGATTTTGCATCCAATTTGAATTAAACTATTGGAACAAGCTTAAAATATGGTAGTACCCAGAAAGCTTACAACTTTGATTGTGAAAGTTGGGGAAGAAAGATCTTTGTCTTCGCTTTCAGGCGACATTAAAGGGAGCTTAAGCCTTTCAAGGTCCTCTTTCATACCTAACATGAAAGCCATCTGCTCAGGAATCGCATGAGAAGCTACCATAATGAAGGTTTCTTCAAAATCCTCACTTTCATCATGTACAACAATCACATCTTGCAGTGATTTCTAACCTTCTCTTGACGTCAATGCCTGCTCAATGGAAGAGAATCCCTTTGAAGGACAGCTGGGATCGTCTTCTGTATAGCTAACAAAGAAATCAACGGTTTAAGGGGTAACCTTAACCAAATATTTAAATTACAGTTAAAATCGTATTTATAGTTATATTACGTTTATTATGATTACAAATATAATAAATTATTGTGAATATTATAATCGATGTTATTACTACTCTAAAACAATGATTATTCTGATAACCACACCAATTTCTCAACATCTAGTACCAAATGGTACTGAAGCTGACTCATCATCCAGTATTCCAAATCTCAAGCGGAATTGTCATTTTCGTAAAGAGACAAAACAGTGTAATAACTGGTTTAATCTCCTGTATTTACATGGTCACATCCTCGAGAAATTGTCACATGCTTTAAGATGGGAAAACATGTAATAAACAGGGAAAATGATCAATGGAAAATTAGCGGCTGCTGACGTGGCAAATGCTTTTAAACGCCTCTAGTCTCTCTTCTTCCACCCCACCGTAGGATCCATCGAAAAAGCCAAAAGCTTTGTCTTTCCACTGAGAGAGACCCAAGAGAGAGAGAGAGAGAGAGGCGGCGGAAGGCTTAAAACGACACTAATTCCGATCTGCCCAAAGCTTGAAACGACAACTCTTTGTTTTATCAGTCCCGAGTTTCCGCTTCTTCCTCCTCTTTGAAAAAAACGCCGTTCCTTTCCTTCTTCCACGTGTCCCCACGATAAAAAGGTTTTTTTTGCTTCGATCCCCTCCGTTCATTTCCAGGTGATTTTCTATGCGCATTCTAAAGCTCTTTCTTCTCGTATTAATAAAAAAGAAGCTAAAACTGTTTTGATCTAGTGCTGAATGGGCCATGGCCGAACCATTGCCGAATCCGGATGAGGTGAAGGACAGCAAAACATGGAAAGGAATTTTCGCTGTCAGTGGAATCATGATTACGCTTGTAATCTATGGAGTTCTACAGGTTCTTTCCTTATTTGTTGTTTTTGTCTGCATATTAGTACGATTTATGTTATTAATTTTTAATTGCATCGTTTGTTTGTACCTAAATAAGATTGAAGATTTGGGCTTTTTTATATTACTCAAAATGTTGTTCTCATGTGAAATGTTTATAAAAGGAAAGACTAGATTTTTAATATCTTTGTCCAGAGCTTCTAGAACTATCGATTCCAGTAAAACATTTGCCAATGGAGGATCTTGATACTCTTGATGCCCTATTGCTTGGAAATTTGTATGTAAAAGAAAAAAAGTGGGAATGTTTGCTTTGGTGATAGATATATCAAAATGATTCTTATGTACTTCCTCACAAAAATGTAAGTCAATTTTCTTATACATATTAGAATGATTCACGTGTAATCACTTTAGTGCAAGTTCATTTTCTTATTTTGATGAGTTGGCCCGTATTAGAATTGAATTTGGTTTTTCCTTGTTTTAGGAGTAAGTAAATTAATACTAAGAGTTGTAGACAATGACAGTTTAGCCGTTAATGTATGATTATCTATTAGTAGCAGCATGAAGATCTTCCTTCATGTTTAGTGAATGTGGTTATTGTCAAAAAAAATGGTATGCTTCTGTTCTTTTTTCACAACGGGTTGATGGAAGTTTTACTCTCATGCAGGAAAAGATCATGAGAGTACCTTATGGGGTAAACAAAGAATACTTTAAATACTCGTTGTTTCTTGTTTTCTGCAACCGCATCACAACTTCTGCAGTCTCTGCTGGCTCTTTAGTGGTATGTAACTTTTTCGGCTAAATGATAGGAGTTGCAGGCCTTATGACCCTATGAAATTCTCCCAACGGATGAACCATCTCACCAAAAGATGTCAAGATTGGCTTGACATATTTTCATACTTCGAATTTTCATTTTGTTTCTCGTCTTTTTCTAGACAAGTAAGAAGGCATTGGATCCTGTTGCTCCCGTCTATAAGTATTGCCTCATATCAGTAACAAACATCTTAACCACAACATGTCAGTATGAGGTAAAGCTCTATCCTTAATCGGAACATAAATACACTTATGCTATAATCTGCACAATGTTTGTATTTTGAACATAAGTTTGCTGAATAAGCCCCATTAGATGCAGTTATGGTAATAATTTTAACGTCAACATTTCTGTTTCCAGGCCCTCAAGTATGTAAGCTTCCCAGTTCAGACCCTTGCTAAGTGTGCGAAAATGATACCTGTTATGGTAAGTTTTGCATGACTTACGCATATATTTATCGTAGTGGTTGGGCAAGTTTTTGGACTCTTAAAAATTTCATCCAATGTGTGCTAATTATTAACTATTAGTCCCCCTCATTTCTTCTTATCAGTTTTTAACTGGCAAAGTCTTCTGATCAATTTTCATCATATTTTTTTTTCAACACAGATTTGGGGCACTTTCATCATGCAGAAGACGTACAAGGGTTTTGACTATTTGGTAGCTTTTCTGGTGACCCTTGGTTGTTCAATATTTATACTATTTCCGGTAAAATTCTTGTCTTTGTCAAGAGCACTCACTCTGTTCCTTGTCTTTGAATGCCATTGATGATTCGGAACGGGTATTCATTTCCATGAACATGATAAGCTTTGGTTTAATATAAGATCTTGATTGGTGTGTGGAAGAGGCCGCTTTAGGATATATATTTAAAATTGTGAGGCATTGAACCACAGTATAACAAATCGACATTGGTTAGCTTTCTCTATTTGATGGTTGCTTTCATACATGATGCATTTCTATTAGCTATAGGTGAATGATCCTTTCTTTTATCTTTGAGTTGCAGATTAGCTGATTCTCTTGTGTGCCATAACTTTGGTTGTATGTGAACTAATTCTGCTTTCTCTGTAGGCAGGAATTGACTTAAGTCCTTACGGAAAAGGAAGAGAAAATACTGTTTGGGGCATTTCTCTGATGGTTGGTTATCTTGGGTATCAATCTGAAACTTATTCCTCTCACCATAACAGATACATACTGATGCCTTTTTTGTAACTGAATCTTCAAAATATAAAGAGAGATGTGTTTTTTGTTTAGACTAAAATCTCAATTGTCGATTTCTCAGTGGCATTTATTACATTGTTTGCAATTGTATTAGTGAAATCTGCTCTTTCGTGCCAACGATCCTTTAGGCTGAAGTATTTCTTTAATGTCAATTCAATTAGCATTGCTATTTCTGAGTGCTTTTGGGAGAAATAGTTTTCAATGCATTTAGATGCTCATTCTATTTTTCACAGATTTGATGGCTTTACAAGCACATTCCAAGATAAACTATTCAAAGGCTATAATATGGAAATACACAACCAGATATTCTACACGACGTTGTGTTCTTGCGTTCTCAGCTTCAGTGGTAAAATCCCTTATATTTGCACATAGGAATTATCTTCTGTTTTACCTATATGTTTGATTTGTTTGCGTTGTATTGTACCGATCGATCACTCCTTGAGATTAATTTTTCTCGATATGTTTTAGGTCTGGTATTACAGGGACATTTACTTCCAGCTGTAGATTTTGTTTATCGCCACAATGATTGTTTTCTTGATATTGTATTACTCTCAACTGTAAGTTATCTTTTTCCAAAACTGTTCCTAGTTTTAATAGGCTTTAACCGATGATGGTCATCAACTCTTGTTCTTCTATAACTGTCCCCAATTAATCAAGAATTACCATGGGGCTCTAAAGTTTAGGGATTATTTGTTTTAGGTAGCAACAACCAGTCAATTCTTCATTTCTTACACGATCCGTAATTTCGGTGCTCTCGCATTTGCTGCCATCATGACCACAAGACAGGTAGAGTCAAGTTTTTTTTTCCTCCTAATGCTATATTTCTGATTTGAATGGAGATTCTTCCAACTCTTTTTTGTTGTTCAAGCTGGTTAGCATCTTGCTGTCTTGCATGTGGTTCGGCCACCCCCTTAGCTGGGAACAGTGGATCGGGGCGGTAAGTTTTAACTACATTAATTCTACATTCTAGTTGATTCCAAAGGCTTGATGATATATTCGATGACTTGACCAGGTCATCGTATTTGGCTCCTTGTATGCAAAAAACTTTTGGAAAAAACCATCACCATCGCCCCCTCCACAACAAACAGAAAACAAAGCTTCAAGTCCCGAGAAAGCAGTCCCTTAAGTCTTTAATAAGTATTGAACTTGTACTTGCCAAAAATAATATTTAGGTTAAATTGTATATTAATTTTATTTATATTATGCCATGACGTTTCTATATGATTGTGTACTTTGTTTTAATTTTTGAAATTAAGTTAAATATCTCCCCCTCCTTTGACACATGTATAAAGTTATCAAGTTGACCTCAAATGGATGATTTTCAAGTTAATTTGACCTCAAATTGATGATTTTTATAATCAACGACACCTAACGAATGGTGTTAGAGAAAGACGAAAAATATTTCGAAGAATAAGGCAATGTTTCTCGATCTCAATGGAAGACGAACTACAACAACTTATTGTTTCACTGCATCAAGAGGGGATTTCGATAAAGACCTTGTATGATTACATGGTTTAACATCTTAGTAATAAAATATAATTTATCTAAATTTCTTTTAAAAAATAAATAATAAAGATAATTCTAAATTATTTAAAATACATAAGAGTCCTGACATGAATTTAACTATAAATAATTGATAACAACTTTAAAATTTTATAATAAAAAATCTGATAATAATTAAATTGATATTCAATATATGATTTTTTTAATATTTTAATTTGAAGAAAATTTAAAAAATAATATATATATATTTTAAGAATATCTGTTTTGATTGATAACAAATTCCGATCTTCTTGAACAAATAATTTATAGCAATAGATAATGATAATCCAACAAATTTAATCAAATAAATAATTATAAGATAGTTTATTATCTTCCTACATTCTATCCTAAATAATTTCTTCTGTTATAAAAAAATAACCATAGTTTTTTAATATACTAAACCATTATTATCTAATTATTAAAATATTAAATTAGTTAAGATACATAATTACTAATAAAATCTGAATTAAAACAATTGATTGTTTACCTATACTAATCAAAGTTTTGAATCAATTAAGGTAATTAATTATTAAAATCCTTAAAAGTCAATGATTTGTTTTAAAAGTTTAGATTATCTTAAACTCTAGAATTAGACTATCACGATAGATACGGATATTTACATCTCAGCTCTCATGGTTATAAATATCCATCCACCACACTTGAAAAATTCACCACTTCAGTGATTCTTTCTCTGCTTCAAGTTTTCTTCTTCTTTTTGTGTTAAGGGATTTTGGGATTTATTTGTTTTGTGAAAGAAGAAGATGGAACTAGATCTTTCTCCTAAGTTGGCTAAGAAAGTATACGGTGGCGATGGTGGAAGCTACTCTGCTTGGTGCCCCAGTGAACTTCCCATGCTTCGTGAGGGCAACATTGGTGCCGCCAAGTTGGCCCTTGAAAAGAACGGCTTTGCCCTTCCTCGATATTCGGATTCTTCGAAGGTTGCGTATGTTCTCCAAGGTATTTATCCCTTTTCTGGCCTTTGTTCAAGCACTACGGAGGCATCTTTTTTATCCATTTCTTTTTGTGTGTGTTTGTGAAAATGGCAGACTTGATTTTATTCTAACAAATTCTGGTTTTGGGTTTTTCTATTTACCAAAATATGTAATTTTCTTTAATCTTTCAGTTTTTTTTTTGTTGCTTTTATCTATCAGAGAAAGGACCCATCTTTTTTTCTGTAACTACTGTCTTATTCTGTAAAAAGAAAGCATCGGTCCTGCGTCCAAATCAATCCTTTGCTTTTAATGTTACAGAGATGAATTGTTGTTGATCAATCACTGTATGTGGTTTCTTTCCCAGAACTGCATTCTTGTTATAGCTTAGCTTTGATAAGTTTTTATTGAATTATCAATTTGCAACAAGTTGAATTGTATTCTTTTTTTTCTCTATGTATGATCTCTTGATATAGGGGTTGGTGTAGCTGGAATTATTCTCCCCGAATCCGAGGAGAAAGTGGTCGCAATCAAGAAGGGTGATGCCATTGCACTCCCTTTTGGTGTTATCACCTGGTGGTATAACAAGGATGATACTGAATTGGAGGTCCTCTTTATGGGAGATACCTCTAAAGGCCACAAGGCAGGCCAGTTCACTGAATTCTTTTTGACTGGCACTAATGGCATCCTTACTGGTTTTACAACCGATTTTGTTAAAAGAGCATGGGATGTAGATGATGACACTGCTAAGGCCCTCATCGGAAACCAACAAGGTAAAGGTATAGTCAAGCTTGATGCCAATGTTAAGATGCCTGAACCGAAGCCTGATCATCGAAAAGGGATGGCCTTGAATTGCGAGGAAGCTCCTTTGGATACTGATATTAAGAATGCTGGAAACGTTGTACTCTTGACCACAAAAAATCTTCCTTTGGTTGGTCAGGTGGGGCTTGGTGCTGATCTGGTTAGGTTGGAAGGTAATGCAATGTGCTCTCCTGGATTCTCTTGTGATTCAGCTTTGCAGGTAACCTATATTGTCAAGGGAAGTGGCCGTCTCCAAGTTGTCGGTGTCAACGGAAAAAGGGTCCTGGAAACCATTGTGAAACCAGGTAACCTATTGATTGTGCCCAGGTTCTTTGTTGTTTCGAAGATTGCTGATCCGGAGGGTTTGTCGTGGTTCTCGATCATCACCACCCCCAAGTAAGCCACTTGTTGTAAAACTCAGAGTTCAAGTTCATTAATTAAACCAGTTTATAATAGTTTTCCAATTGTGAAGCATAATGTTATAATTCTCGTTTGCAGCCTGTATTCACTCACTTAGCTGGAAGCATTGGGTCATGGAAGGCTATATCCCCTGAGGTTTTGCAGTCAGCTTTCAAGGTTCCGGCTGAGACGGAGAAGCTTTTCCGGTCTAAGAGAACCAATGATGCCATCTTCTTCCCACCGCCACAATGAAGAAACAAATCTCCTAAGTTGTCTGCTAGTTTCAGTTTTTTCTCTCTCCAAAAACATGGTTTCTAGTTTCTACGATGTTTAGGCCATAAAGGCTTTTTCTTTCTGTTTATGCAAGTGATGTTAATATGAAAGAATTAGAAGGTTTAAAGTTTTCATAATATTACATGCTTTCTTCCAATAATTCTCTTGCTGCATTTGACTATTCATATAAATCCTTTTACTGTTGAACGTTGCCTGATTCATGATCTCCGTCATATTGATGTTAGGCATCAGATTGTTGAATGGCCTTGTTGCTAAGGGCTAAAAAGCATTATGCGTCATGTCATCTACTAGAATCCAAAGGGTTTCACCTAATTTTGCTATGATATTTTTCTACTTATGATCATTAAATTGATCACTAAGTCCTGTAAATCCCACCAACTGAAGGTTGCAGTTGAAAAAATTCTGAGATTGATTGGAGGACACTCTTTGATTCTAATTCGAATAAAAACTTTTTCCCTCGTTTAAGGAATGATGAAATTGTTACAATTACTCCACCTTTAAAGAATTTTTTATGAAGACTTGATTGATATGATAGTGAAGTTATCAAGTATATGGGTGTTGTGCTTAGTGATGACGATGATTGAAAGAACGATGAAGGCGGTGGTCTAGGCGAAAGGAGGTATATGATTGTTTGTTAAGAAATTAGGTACATCAAAATAATCAAAGTAAAATTAACGTAAAATAAGATATGCCAAAACATAATGATCACGAATGAGAAGAATAATAATCCACTATAAACATCATGTATTCCCTTTCTTCTTAAGACCCTAAAAATAAGAAGACAAACTTCAAATATTGTGCCATCTCAAAAATATAATATTTGGTTATTGAAATTTCCAATTGGTTATGTATTCGAAACATCCCTCAACACGACTGTTGTTCGACTTTCTGGACCAATACTTGCTTTCAATGGAATTTGGACAAATTTTCGGGAAATTTGGTGTGGAATGACAATTAATGGTTGCAAACTGGTCCTTTCTGGAAGGATTTATAGACCAAATTCGAAGAAAGTGGTAATACATTCTGGAATACTAAAGGCCAGGGTCATTTCATGCTCTGAACATTTCACCACCAAAAGTTGGTCATATTTCAAGCCAGGCAAATTAAACAAGTATGTATAATGCTTCACTTTGTTATACATTCGGTGAAGGTTAATCACATAGTCGTCGACAAGGATGAAGAGAGCAACTGATGGTGGCCATGGCAAAGCTCAATTCGAGAATGGACTCGCTCTAGTTTCAGTATGTCGAATTTATCTATCTTTGTTTAAATATATAAAAAATAATAGATGGATGTCTGAGATATGTGTATGCACAAAACTTGATATGTTTATGGAAGTCTGCCATTTTTTGTCTGTTATCAATATCTTCCTTCTCAATGGCATAATTGCGTGGCAATACTGTTGTGTTAATGCTATACAAACTGATGCGAGTTGCAATGACAATACACAGGTGAAATGGGCCAAGAATGTAGTCCTTGTGATCCAAGGAAACATTGATGGCCGATGAGCAATTAAAGAAGCCGTATGGCTGCACTGCAGGTAGCAAGGGTTAGCTTCAAAAATCATGCTTTTATCAACCAAGCCGTAAAACTAGTACTTCATGTTGAATCTGTGTTGTTTTCCACCTTTCCACGTAACATTAAAGCTTTTATCAACCAAGCTTCAAAGGTCCTAACTAAGGTCGGAGTTGGACTGTACTTTATCCCGTTTTGGGAGGACAAAATTAATATTTTATAATTATAAATAATAAATATGTTAGAGTTAATAAGAAAACTAGGAGCTTCAGGTTGAATAATTTGTACATGACTATGTGTTCCACTGGCAGTGTAGTTTCTTAAAGGGAACAAGTTTTGGGTCTTCAAATTCAATCAGCTTCAGGTTTTTTATTCCAAGTGTCTGGTAATCACAAAGGTCCTAACTAAGGTCGGAGTTGAACTGTATTGGGAGAACAAAATCTCTCAAAATTAATATTTTAATAATAAATCTTAATAAATAAATAAATATGTTAGAGTTGAGATAATTAACAAATATATTTAGAATGGGGCTCTGCTTTTGTTATGGACAATGCATTACACGTAAACAACTATATAAATAAGTCACTCAAGTAACTTCTCATTCAACAGTTATTCTCCTCCTTCAAGTCAAAAGCATGGCAAGTTTCGTTTCCTCCTCTATTCTCTCATCTTCCTATTCTTTAACATTGTCACACCCCTCCCTCTGTCGACGAATTCACGATGAATTGTTGGCGAGGGAGGACGACGCGTGAAGCTTGTGTGCGTGAACTGGTCATCTCACTCAGAACTCATGCTTGCCGAAGTGCTCAGCAGGCAGCCTATGGATGTCATCGCCAAACGGATTGTGTCAATGGGGTTCAACTACGTTAGGTACACTTGGCCAGTCTTCCTTGTCACCAATGACTCGTTGGCATCCCTCACCGTTAGACAATCGTTTCAACGACTCGGCTTCGTTGAATCCATCGCTGAAATCCAAGCCAACAACCCTTCGATCATTGATGTTCCCCTCATCAAAGCTTACCAGGTATGACAGATTTTCCAACTCCCTGTTTTCTCCGATTAGCATCGATTAATAAACATGTCTCAAACTTTACGACATTGATTTATTGATTGAAATTGAATAAAAATATTGGTATTTGTATTTCAGACAGTGGTGTCAAGCTTAGGGAAAAACAATTTGATGGTCATACTTGACAATCACATAAGCAAACCCGGTTGGTGCTGCAGTAATCTTGATGACTATGGTTTCTTCGGTGACAAGTACTTCAATCCGGATCAATGGATCACCAGGCTGACTCGGATGGCCACCTTATTCAATGGTGTCACTAATGTAGTCGGCATGAGCTTGAGGAACGAGCTTAGAGGCCCGAAACCGAACGTAAACGATTGGTATAAGCACATGCAAAAAGGAGCCGAAGCAGTGCACTCGGTAAACCCGAATGTTCTCGTTATACTTTCTGGATTTGATTTCGACAGAGACTTATCATTCATCCAGACTCAACCGGTAAAACTCACGTTTAGTGGGAAACTAGTATTCGAGGCGCATTGGTATGGACTCTTCGATGGACCGCAAACATGGGTGGCCGGAAACCCAAACGAAGTTTGTGGTAGGGTGGCGACATACATAATGAAAACATCTGGGTATTTGTTTGATCAAGGATACCCGTTGTTCATTAGCGAGCTCGGGATTGATCAAACAGGAACCAATGTCAATGGCAATAGGTACTTGAACTGCTTCTTGGGTGTGGCAGCTGAGCTTGAATCTGGTTAAACGAGAACTACGGAGTCTTGGATTATAACTGGTGTGCACTCAGGAATTCAAGCTTCATACAAAGAATTTCAGCTCTCCAAGCTCCTTTCCGAGGTAAGCCGACGTACATTAGTTTCTTTTTATTTGAGATTGATGTTAACCGAAAATTTGATACAAATCTTTCATTATTCCGCAATGACATATGCAGGTCCAGGTCTGTTAGAAGCCAAAATGCACAAAGTGATCTTCCCTCCCTTAACGGTGCTTTGTATCACAAGGAAATCATTCGCCCATCGGTTGCGGTTAGGTCCCTGCACCGATTCCTATGCTTGGAGTTACAACCCCAAGAAGGCTTTACTAGTAACAGGAACACATTTATGTTTACAAGCCGACAAATCCGGGACATCGGCAAAACTCGGCATCTTTTGCAGTGGCTCGAATTCGAAATGGGAAATGATATCCGATTCCAAGATGTATCTCTCGGCTAAACTCAGAGATGGCAACTTCGTTTGTCTCGATGTAGCGTCAGACAACACTATTATCTCAAATCGTTGCAAATGCATAAATAAAGACAACACATGTGACCCTTCGAGCCAGTGGTTCAAACTTGTGGACAGCACGAGGAGCAGCACAAACGTTTAATTTTATCAAACATTTAGTTTTAGTTTTATATATTTCGAAATGTATAGGAATTAGGTTGGTAGCGGTCATACAAAATCTAGTTGATTTGATCAATAAAGGCAACTATTTTATCTTTTACATAGATTAATTAGTACTTTATTTTCTGAACTGAAATTCAAGTTGATTTAGTTAATTTTACTTGAATAAACCAAAATTAAAAAAATTATTTTTCGAGTAAAATCGAATTGTACTCGTCCTTAATCAAATGCACACAACCAAGATAATGTCATTGTTATGCCTCACGGTATATGCGGATCATCTCCATCATGCTACAAACATTCTTCAGTTGTTTTCAAATCATTCAATACTTCATTCTTGTTCTCTTCCGGTAATGGAGCAGAGGGCCAAAGACTTGACCGCCTTTTCGAGCTCGATATACCGTCGCATGCGAACCATTTTCTCTTGTCCCTTCCAATTACTCAAATATCTACCCCTCTTTTGACACATTTATAAAGTTATCAAGTTGACTTCAAATTGATGATTTTTATAATCAACGACATCTAACGAATGGTGTTAGAGAAAGACGAAAAATATTTCGAAGAATAAGGCAATGTTTCTCGATCTCAATGGAAGACGAACTACAACAACCGATTGTTTCAGTGTTGTATGATTACATGATTTAAAATCTTAGTAATAAAATAGAATTTATCTAAATTTCTTTTAAAAAATAAATAATAAATATAATTCTAAATTATTTAAAATACATAAGAGTCCTAACATGAATTTAACTATAAATAATTGATAACAATAATAAAAAATCTGGTAATAATTAAATTGATATTCAATATATGATTTTTGTAATATTTTAATTTGAAACAAATTTGATCATAATTAAATATTCATCTGATAATTTAAAAAATATATATTTTTTAAGAATATCTGTTTTGATTGATAACAAATTCCGATCTTTTGAACAAATAATTTATAGCAATAGATAATGATAATCCAACAAATTTAATCAAATAAATAATTATAAGATAGTTTATTATCTTCCTACATTCTATCCTAAATAATTTCTCCTGTTATAAAAAAATAATAACCATAATTTTTAATATATTAAACCATTATTATCTAATTATTAAAATATTAAATTAGTTGAGATACATAATTACTAATAAAATCTGAATTAAAATAATTGATTGTTTACCTATACTAATCAAAGTTTTGAATCAATTAAAGTAATTAATTATTAAAATCCTGAAAAGTCAATGATTTTTTTTAAAAGTTTAGATTATCGTAAACTCTAGAATTAGACTATCACGATAGATACGGATATATACATCTCAGCTCTCATGGTTATAAATATCCATCCACCACACTTGAAAAATTCACCACTTCAGTGATTCTTTCTCTGCTTCAATTTTTCTTCTTCTTTTTGTGTTAAGGGATTTTGGGATTTATTTGTTTTGTGAAAGAAGAAGATGGAACTAGATCTTTCTCCTAAGTTGGCTAAGAAAGTATACGGTGGCGATGGTGGAAGCTACTCTGCTTGGTGCCCCAGTGAACTTCCCATGCTTCGTGAAGGCAACATTGGTGCCGCCAAGTTGGCCCTTGGAAAGAACGGCTTTGCCCTTCCTCGGTATTCGGATTCTTCTAAGGTTGCGTATGTTCTCCAAGGTATTTATTCCTTTTCTGGCCTTTTTCAAGCACTACGGAGGCATCTTTTTTATCCATTTTTGTGTGTGTGTGTGTGTTTGTGAAAATGACAGGCTTGATTTATTCTAACGAATTCTGGTTTTGGGTTTTTCTATTTACCAAAATATGTAATTTTCTTTAATCTTTCAGTGTTTTTTGTTGTTGTTGCTTCTATCTATCAGAGAAAGAACCAATCTTTTTTTCTGTAACTATTGTCTTATTCTATAAAAAGAAAGCATCGGTTCTGCGTCCAAATCAATCCTTTGCTTTTAATGTTACAGCGATGAATTGTTGTTGATCAATCACTGTATGTGGTTTCTTTCCCAGAACTGCATTCTTGTTATAGCTTAGCTTTGATAAGTTTTTATTGAATTATCAATTTGCAACAAGTTGAATTGTAATCTTTTTTTTTCTCTATGTATGATCTCTTGATATAGGGGTTGGTGTAGCTGGAATTATTCTCCCCGAATCCGAGGAGAAAGTGGTCGCAATCAAGAAGGGTGATGCCATTGCACTCCCTTTTGGTGTTATCACCTGGTGGTATAACAAGGATGATACTGAATTGGAGGTCCTCTTTATGGGAGATACCTCTAAAGGCCACAAGGCAGGCCAGTTCACTGATTTCTTTTTGACTGGCACTAATGGCATCTTCACTGGTTTTACAACCGATTTTGTTAAAAGAGCATGGGATGTAGATGATGACACTGCTAAGGCCCTCATCGGAAACCAGCAAGGTCAAGGTATCGTCAAGCTTGATGCCAAGGTTAAGATGCCTGAACCGAAGCCTGATCATCGAAAAGGGATGGCCTTGAATTGCGAGGAAGCTCCTTTGGATACTGATATTAAGAATGCTGGAAACGTTGTACTCTTGACCACAAAAAATCTTCCTTTGGTTGGTCAGGTGGGGCTTGGTGCTGATCTGGTTAGGTTGGAAGGTAATGCAATGTGCTCTCCTGGATTCTCTTGTGATTCAGCTTTGCAGGTAACCTATATTGTCAAGGGAAGTGGCCGTCTCCAAGTTGTCGGTGTCAACGGAAAAAGGGTCCTGGAAACCATTGTGAAACCAGGTAACCTATTGATTGTGCCCAGGTTCTTTGTTGTTTCGAAAATTGCTGATCCAGAGGGTTTGTCGTGGTTCTCGATCATCACCACTCCCAAGTAAGCCACTTGTTGTAAAACTCAAGAGTTCAAATCCATTAATTAAGCTTGCTTGTAATAGTTTTCCAATTGTGAAGCATAATGTTATGATTCTCGTTTGCAGCCCTGTATTCACTCACTTAGCTGGAAGCATTGGGGCATGGAAGGCTATATCCCCTGAGCTATTGCAGGCAGCTTTCAAGGTTCCAGCTGAGACGGAGAAGCTTTTCCGGTCTAAGAGAACCAATGATGCCATCTTCTTCCCACCGTCACAATGAAGAAACAAATTTCTTAAGTTGTCTGCTAGTTTCAGTTTTTTGTTTTCCCCCCCAAAAACATGGTTTCTGGTTTCTACGATGTTTAGGCCATAAAGGCTTTTTCTTTCTGTTTATGCAAGTGATGTTAATATGAAAGAACTAGAAGGTTTTAAGTTTTCATAATATTACATGCTTTTTCTACTGATTCGTGTGGTGAAGGGTCTCAACAACGGCAAACCCTTGTGCATATCCATATTTTCCTGTTTCACCGACTATAGCTATCGGATACTTTACTGCAGCTGTACGGTTCACCCCAAAGAAACTGATGGCGTCGTCTTTATTGTGATCATCTTCATCATGGACATAGCAGTGAATGCCATTGCATTACTTAGGGCCGGCTATTAGGGGGTGCACCCTGAACAACCGCTCAGGGCCCCCATTTTTTATAGGGCCCCTATTTTTCTATTATATTTTTTATTTTTATAATTTAGTACTCTCATTTTCTTTAATTTTATTTTTTATATTTATAATTGAGGCTTAATTTTGTAATCACACTTTTTATCTTTATAATTGGGATCATTAATTTTGTCAGTCTCACTTTTTACATTTATAATTGAGGCCTCAAATTTTTAATTCACTTTTTACCTTTAAAATTGAGACCCCTAATTTTTTTTAATCTCACCTTGTACCTGTAGAATTTTTTAATCATACTTTTATAATTTAAGTCCCTAATTTAATCATTTTTCTACGATTTATTAATGTAATTTTAAATTAATTGTTCGGAGTAATAGAATATACTTTCATTTGATAAGGACCTATTTTTTAGTTTCACTCATGCCCAAGACAGCTCTGGTACGTCTGCTGCCATCCATTGAACTTGCCAGATAAGATCCCTGAGCTTTCCCGATTATGGAAGATCCTAATTCATTCCCCTTGGTCATTTCATCATCGATCACGGTTACGGTTCCTAATAAGAGGTTCTGTGAGGTTGCTCCTTGAGTGACAATTGGGAGTGCTTTGCCATCGACGATGCCACTGCGTTTCTTGGAGAAAGGGATTCCTTTGACTTGAGGGTTACTGGGAATGATCCCGCTCACCACCCTTACTGATGGAGCTGAGCCACCGAATATGTCATGCATAAAGAACGACAGTGTGGGTTGATCACTTGTGCTAGTGGTCGCAGCCTGCATGGCACCCACTACTGGCGCCGTGTGAGCTACGGGTGCCAGGACCGGGTAGATTTGTATTGTTCCGGACGGTGGAAGAGGTGGGAGTGTGTCATCGTCAGTGACGACTCTTGCTCCATTGGAATAATATTTCATGGTGATGGCTAAGAGCAAGAGGTACAATGTGCCCTTAATGCGTAGCTCTTTGGCCATTATAACTTGGTGAAAATGACAAGAATCGAAGGCTTTTTTCTTGAGGAAACATGAATTTGTAGGATTTATATATATATATATAGTTGTTGATGATGGATGAATGAGTTAAAACAATGGTGGAGCAGGGGAAATTGCGTTTGGAGTGGTTCAGTACATGTGTTTTTTCTCATTTGTAGGAACTTTTAAGCTAATGGAGCTGTTAAAATGATTTAAGCCTGGCTTTATAAAAGTCAGAGCTTGTAATAGGCGAGTCAACATACATGTAGAGCACCACTTTTCATTAGTGAATCCCATTCATGAAATCCCACCAACTGAAGGTTGTAGTTGAAAAAATTCTGAGCTTGATTGGAGGACACTCTGATTCTAGTTCGAATAAAAACTTTTTTGCTCATTCAAGGAATGATGAAATTGTTACAATTGCTCCACCTTTAAAGTTTTTTGATCTCGACTTGAATGATATTATAGTGAAGTTATTAAGTACGATGGGAATTGCTTAGTGACAGAAGATGATTGAAAGAACGATAGAAGGTGGTGATGTAGGCGAAAGGAGGTCTATAATTATTTATTAAGAATTTAGGTAAAAAAAATAATCAAAGCAAAATCAACGTAAAATAAGATATGCAAAAACATAGAGATCACATATGAGAAGAATAATAATTTACTATAAATATAGATATCAAGAAATACAAATACGTGTATTCTAAAACATGATAATGTATCTCAGAATACTCTTTTAACTTTTTTATATAATCATCTATGCATGATAAACCTCAAAAATTATAGAGATCCCAAAAAAGATACTTCACTTCTTTAAAATAATTTTCTCTCATCATTCTAAACATTAAGACATGATCCATATTTATTGTCAAAGTGATCAGTTAACACGTAATCTTTAACTACTAGAATTATAATAAAATTTAATGTAACTACCAATTAGAAATTGAGTTAATATCTAAATTTGAGAAGAAATCACTGGCAAATTCTATTATTCAATTTGCAAGTTATTACCGGAAGGTAAAAGGCCGGCTGGCGAGTGGTTTGGGTGTTAGGTATTTCAATTTTTACTTTAGGGAAGGCTTGGTAAACGGAGATTGTTGAGCATGAATAAAAAATTTTAAAGGTTCATTTTTATCAATTTTTAGATAATTTAAAATTAAAATTTTAAAGGCTTATTTTTATTAGAATTTTAGATAATTTAAAATTAAATTTTTATCAATATGTATCTGATTCAATTATTTATTTTTTCATATTTAATTCAAATTATCCAAAATAAAAAAATATTAAAATTTTTAAATCAAATCAATAAATTAATAGATCAAATCGATCATATGAAATTTTTTGTATACTCCTATCAGAAATGGCCAAATTTTTCATGGGGAGATGTTATAATAATATCACTAAATACCCACGCTTTCCAACTGTTTTGTTTTTCTATAGGAATTTCTTTATCATGCCGTCCAACATTTGTCAAAAGATAAGGTACCAACTCATTCAAGACAAAGAAAAGAAAAGGATAATACAATTATTCAAATCATCAATGAGGTAAATAAATTGGAAAATTTCCCACTTTCACGTGAAAATATGTTAGTTTTTTTTATATAAATAATAGTAATTAATTTTAATGAGTTGATAAAAAATGTAATAAAATTATAATCTTAAGAAGAAAAATCAACAAAAATTAAACTATATTAATCTTATTAATATATCATTTTTCTTTTAAATATTAAAAAATACAAACTAATCCTTGAATAAAAATAGGGTAAAATGATTTTAAAAAAATCATCATTATCGATATTGAAAGATAAATACCATCAATTCTAACCTAATAAATATATATAACAATAAGGAACGTTGACAATCGACTCAGCACAACTCATACACCGTTTTATCTAAGATGATTGTGGACGCCTATAAATATGAAAGAATCAATCCGAGAGTCCAAGACAAAGGTACATCAATAAAATAATCAAATATAGGCCAACTAAAGAGAAAAGAATTAAATCTAATCTAAAAAAAATACTATTAGAGAAGATAAAAATCAGAACAACTGATAAATAAGAAAATAGAGATAGATGAAAATATATTAAAAGATATGATAAATTGTGAGTGACCAATTGACAACAACTTGATCAAAGTTTGATGACACTCAGGGACGGACGCAAAATTTATGTCATTAGGTGTAAAATTATAAAACCTATGGATAAGGAAAATATTTAAAATATAAGAGGTTTTAAAATTTTTAGGGGGTGTGACGTACCCCAACACTCCCTCGATCCATCCCGATGGCGCTATCATTATAAACAAACAAATTGAAAAATCTTAACAAGAAGAAAAGGAAATAATGAACTGATTTAAGAAATATATTTTTAATTTTTTTTAAATAATTCATGTAATTATATTTAAAATAATATTTACTTAATTTTATTAATTATCAATTGATTTATCAGATTAAAAATTTTAATGCCGAAGAACAAATTAGGTTAAAAGAATCAAAATTATAATAAGTTTTTAATATAAAAATAAAATTAATTAATTAATCAGTGATGGTTATAAAAGAAATATCTATATAATCTAAAGTGTGATATTTTACAAAGAAAATAGAATAAAAACAAGGAGAAGGCAAAAAGAATAAAGAAACAAAACATAAAAAGTTGGGCCCACTCTTGGGAAAATTAGGCATGGACTTGCAACCAATAGTGGGCTTCATCATTTGCTTTAATTTGTGGGGAAGGCATGTACAATATTTGTCCAACACTTGGAAAATGATATGCCACCAAGGTTGAACTAAGGGCAGCTATATATTATTATTTCTTGTGTTATTCAAATTAATTTGAATTAATGATTTAATTAAAATTTATCAATGTAAAAAACTAAAAAATTAAAATAATATCGTTTTTATCTTTAATTAAGTAATTTGACTATTTTTACAATTTAGTCCATTATTTCGTTATTTCTTATTTATTTTAGTTTATTTTAACAAATTTCAACTGTATGCTCCTAACCACTGTAGAATACTTATGCATTTTTTATTCATCATTTTGAAAATAAATTTTCTCTCTAAAATTTAGTCTCTCGACTTTCCATGATATTTGTTTCTTTAATTTCTCTTTTGTTTAAGTCCATTTTTTAATTAAATTTGAGCCACACACTCCTCTAAAACTATAGAATACATAGGTAATTTCAGTTCTTATTTTTAAGAACATTTTTTTTTTCATTTTTTAAAATTTAAACTGTAAATCATTTTTTTCTAGTAATTACATGACTTTATACTTTCATCGATGTTTACCCTCAATTTTTTTTTAAGAAATAATATTATAAATAAAAAATAAAAACAGAGTGGAGAAATTCATACACATAACAAACCGAGCCCACCACTCTACCTTTATTGAACAATCCAATAATAGAGAATCGAAAGGTCAAAGGTCCAAGAAAATCTATTCGTTTCTGAAGGATATGAGTAATCTTATAAATAAAGATGATCAAATAAGTGATACTTCACTGCTTTGACAAATTATACATAAATGTGGATATTATCAAATTTTTTTTTTTGGATAATCTATTATCACAAATTTGATCTCTAGACGCAAAGATGGGCAATGAGGGCTTTACATTTGTTATTTAACGATCCAAAATTTTGACCACTTTAACCAGGAATTCAGTTAATGACATGGGAAAAAACAAAAGGAAAGGGTCTGATTCTTTCACCAACTGCAGACACTTACACTACTTGTCTCCCTAAATTCTTCAAGTAATCTTCACGAACCGCACTTATCATAGCAGTACCAGTTCATCGGTATCACTCAATGGCCTTGTAATCTAATCCTGAATTGCAATCATGCAAACTTTTTTCTGCAAAATTTTCAGATTCCTTCACCCTTCATTATGGAAACTTGTAATTAAGAACCCACCACTGTTGGAGGATATCATCTTAGAGATTCCATGGCAGCTTAAGCTAAGGATTTTTTTAATTCTGACAAAGGGTATATTTTGTGATGATTCCATCAGAAAGCACAAGAGCACCAAACATCATCTTTATCAAATGTCTGACAACATTCCCCAAAAAAGCTTACATTTGATTAGTCTACAGTAGAAACTCAAATGTGAACAGTGAATTAGGATCTAAGCATGCATCTAGACAAGGGAAACACACAAGCAATCTGCTGGTATGCCATAGTTCATACTCTTTTAAAGAAAAAGAAATTAAAACCCTAGTGTTTTCTATTTTTTATCACCATTGGAGAAGATGGAGCTGCTCTTGCTACTGTTGCAGATGGCCAGAGCTGTGCATTCTTCACCCTGGAAACGCTTGCTAGAACATTTGCGGGAGTTACATCTCCAATCACCGTCACTTTCTTTGTGGCCAAATCTATACTGAATGATGTCACTCCTGCATATCACTAATCTTGTTATTGTTTCATGCTAAAATAACTAATGAATGTAGCCATTTTTCTATCTGTTGGAAACTCACCTTCCATTTTTGAGATGTGTTTTCTTACTTTCCCTTCACATCCTTTGCAATGGATTGAAACCCTCAAAACCACCACCTGCTAGCAAGAATCAAGAGATTTTAAGTGCCCCTTGTTTTCCCTTCTCGGAACCATTGAACCAGAACAGGAAGGGTTTGGGAAGCTTATGTGAACTGTTTTTTCTTGTGGTCAAAGAAAAGAAGAGAGAGTGAAGACTAACCTGGTGACGAGACAGGACGGATGAAGACGATTTTAAAGAGGGAGACTCGTCAGAGCTTAAACGGTTTGGCATTACCGGTGGTGAGACGCGGTCGGAGTCCAATAACAAATCAATAAAAGGTGTATCGCCTAGAAGATATCTGGAGGAACCAGGAGCAGGAGGACTCCTTAGATCATAGATATCAGCTGAATTTTTTCGACGTACATCGCTTGGCTTCACAGAGCTCTTTCTACTCTTTTCATGGTGAGGCAGCCCTGGAATAATGGGCAATTCTGATGAACAAGGTGCATAAGGCTTAGAACGTTGGCGGTCGATGGGCCGATGGCCACGGCGGACCATGGAACGATGGTCCAGGCTAGAGCAGATGGCTGTTGAAGCTTGAGAAGCACAGAAAAAATCCATTCTTTTCATTGTTTGGAGAAGATGCAAGTTTTTAAGGTAAACTGAAACAAATAGAGGTGAGGCCAATTAAATCTTCATTTAAAGTAGGTGGATTAGGGAGAGAGGGCATGGAAAGAAAAAAGCAGCAGTTAGGTCCCACTTGAAAAGTGTTGTTTAATCGTACACCGGAAAAATATGTGATTAAATTCTGGACCTTCAAAGTTGTGATTAACTTTTGACATTATTCTAATGTATTCAAACATGATTAGTACCACTACTTGTATCATGGGGCTACAACTTATTAACATTATATCCTTGGGTTATTTTAGAGCATGAATAAGGGTGTAATTTATCATGGACCTAAGCATGGAATGCCAACAATCACAGCTTGTGATATTCATCTCCTGTATATGGAGATTGATTGTAATGATTATGGCTAGGATTAATGTGCATGGTGTTTCCAATTTTCATCAGAAGAAGGCAGGCTGGTGGGTCAAAGGGTCCCTTTTACAACACAGTGAGTTGAAATCCCGAGTTCCATCATCGATTGCAAATTGATTAGAGCATTTGGTGTCGACCACTTTGATCAACTTCACGTAGCTTCTTGATCATCAAAAAGCTTTCTGGTGGGGACTCATCTAGACCTTATTATATACGAATGAGCAGTTCATCACCAACACAATTTGCATCATTACCATATCATTTTGGGGTTTTGAAATGATGATGTCTCTTTTAGAAACAATTAATGAAACAAAAAGGCATAGTTAATTGTTATCCAATAAAACAAGGAATCTGGTTTAGCTGAAGGAGAGTGAGGATATCAAACTTTCCATATAGCAGAATTTATCCATGGCAGTTCTGTCATGGGATAGGATAATGTTATACAATGTAAAATTATTTTAATTTTATATAGATTTAGGACCGTTGGATGAGTGAAAATAGATGCCTGAGATTAACAGTAAGAAATGAGAAGATATTCACTGGAAAAAAAAAACAATGAGTCAATCTCAGTCATCTATTTTCAACTCATCCAACGGTCATGAATTTGTATAAACTAAAGAATTTTACATAGTATAAATGGATCCTAACCCTGTGTGTGTGTATATATATAGTCATGCGTTTAAAGATGTGGGGGTTTAATTAATTGGCAGATTAAGAGGAACTAATTTTATATATAATATATGTATATACACGAAAGAAAAGCAGAGAAGTGGGTACATGTTTCTAAGCAGTTGCCTCGAACGACATTGTGCTGCAAAAGAACTCAGTTTTATATATGTATATTTATCTTCTTTTACAAAGCACTTCTTTTTGTATATGTTTAAACCTTTTTCTGGGTAAAGTTTCCCTCTAATAATATATAATAGAAAGAATCTCCATTGTCACATGCATTTTACTTTTAAAAAAATTGTACATAAAGTATTTGCACCATCAATTTAACTACTAGAATGCAATTCACTGAATTACTTGAAACTTCAACCAATCGAATTACCTCATTCACTCTCTTGAACAAATCAAGCGAAATGTTACTTGGATTTCAACCAAAACCTGTCTGATATTGATATTATATTTTAAAAAATTAATTATATATGGATTTTGTTTTAAAAAAATACTAATATATTATTGGATCTAATCAAATAAAGTATAAGATTCAAATATTATGAATGAAGAAAATAACATAGGAAGAACTTACTGTTATGTGTGTTCAAATATAATTCATAATTTTTTCTCATTAAGTAATTAGAATTAAGGTTCACTTTGGCAGTACTGTAAATAGTAAGATCTTTTTCTCATTTTTACAAAGTAGAATGAATCATTTTTTCTTGGAAATACTTTTTCGCATAATTTTTTTTTTTGAGAAAAATAATACCAAATAGATTCTAACTTTTTTATTTAAGTGTATAAATATTGAAGTTTTTGAATTAATCTTGCGGATAACATCATACGCTGATCAATGCAGAATCACTAGAAAAGTTCAGCCTTTCGCAAAGACCGAGATCCTTCCACCACCTGATTAGAATTTTGAAGTCCACAACCAAAATCAAATATGATGTATATTTCGAACTTGTCTGCAAGTATGCATATACTTACGCTGAAGCATGTCTTAGATCGTCTTGGTGAATAGCTTGGACTATGCTGTAATCCAATATAGCAAGTTCTAAAATAATGGATTTTTTGTCATTTTTCTTCTCGTACGCATCTATGAACCATCTGGCTTCCAACCTAGACATCCCCTAATGTAGAGGGACCTCCAAAGTATGGTCCATGAGCATCGAAAGCAAGAGGAGTTTACTTTGACGCAACGTAAATTCCTTTCCGAGACCCTCCAAACAAGAAAACAAGAGGACAAATCCATGTTGAGGGCTCTAGGGCAAGGAAACACAGCTCAAGATGTTTGGGTGGTTGATTTTGATGGAGATGGATTTAACAGTTTCGAGGACTTCGTGGAAGTATACAAGAGGAGCGATGGGATAACAACAATGACCGTATAAAATGTTCTCTGTTGAATTACAATGGCAAAATAAGTGAAGTGGAAAAGAGGCTTGAGGAGAGCAATATACATCAGCGATGGAATGAAAAAATAAATGAAAAACTAAAAAAATTTAAAATTCAAATAACTGATAAAAGTTTGAACTAAAGTGTCACGTCATTACTCTGTTAATAAATTAATGGATGTGTGATTAAAAAATTCAATGTATAAAGTTTAGTTATTAAATTGAAAGGTTTTAAACTTGAATGACTAAATTAGGATGAATAAAAAAGTTAAGTGATTATATGTGTAAATTACCCAAATGAAATTATCCTTTCTCCCGCTTTACCTAATTAGGGTTTTGTTTGCAAACTTATATTAAAACCGCTAAACTCTCTTCGGACTAGGGATGGCAAACGGGTACAGTTTCGCGGATTCCGCACCGCACTCGTTCCAATTGGGGCGGGGATGGGTATAAATTTAGCGGTTAGTGGGCGGGTGTGGATTTAGAAAGTGATACCCGTCGCGGGTAGTGGGCGGGTAATGGGTTTAAGACATTACCCGTCCCGCATCCGCCACATCCGCCCGCCCACCTAAATATCCACCCGTCCGCCCACTTTCTATTATATATGTAGGCAGTAGTGAATTTAAATTGGAGTGCTCTCTATTGGAGGAAATAGAGAATAATGATTGTAATACTCGAGTATCAGATGTCATAAGTATTGCTTGAAATTTTAGAATGTTGTGCCAAAGAACAAAAACATTATGTGTTTGTCATTTATGTTTCTAAACTTTAATTATGTCTTTTATTATGGTGTTTTATGTACTTTAAGATCTATATTAACACTTAACTAGATCAGGCGAGTCTAGACGGGTACGTCACCAGTGGGTTGTGGGTGTGGGGATGGATTTGGAAATGTACCCGCGTGGGCGGGTGTGGATTTGAAAATTTGTACCCATCATGGGTGGTGAGCGGGTGGTGGATTAAAAAATATTAGGTGGGTATGGGGATGGGGGATGGGGTATCCGCACCCGACTTGCCCGTTTGCCATCCCTACTCCGGACTTCTTCCCCGCAGAGAGAGAAATAGAGGCAGACACCATGAGTATTGATAATAATGCTTATGAAAACTCCATTTTTGTTCAGTTTATGATTTAGTTTTATCAATTGTTTGCTAATCCCTTTTTAACTTTTCTGGTATTGTTGTTTTATAGCAAGGATTAAGGTTCACGAATTAAGGAACAAATCAAAGACAGAGCTGTTGAGCCAGCTCAAGGACTTGAAGGCTGAACTTTCTCTACTTCGTGTAGCCAAGGTCACTGGTGGTGCCCCCAACAAGCTCTCCAAAATGTAGGTCAATTCCCTCTCCCTCCTTTTACTTATTGATTTTTCATTTTTTAAGAAAAATCTCTCTCTTTTAGTATGTTTTTTTGATTCTTTAGGTGTTTTGTTTTTAGTAAGGTGGTGAGACTATCAATTGCACAAGTGTTGACAGTGATATCCCAGTAGCAGAAGGCTGCATTGAGGGAAACCTATAAGAAGAAGAAGTTTTTGCCTCTTGATCTCCGTCCCAAGAAAACCAGAGCCATTCGCCGCCGCCTTACCAAACACCAGGTTATTTATGGGCAAATTCCATTACGTAATTCAACTTTTGTTGTAATTTGAGAGCTCTTTTATGTTTAATTTATTGGCATTTCCAGATTCTTTCGTTTTAGTAATTTTGTGTTAATGTGTATGTATGAAACTATGAAAGTGAAATAATCTTGATTGGCACTATGGTTAACTTTTCCAGCCTTAACTTACTACAAGTAGTTTCATTTTTCCATCGGCTTAGCATGTTGAACGTAATTAGTGTTCTGTGACGAGTTCCATTCCTATTTATGTTTGTGCTTGGTACATTGTAGAGCAATAAAGCGTGAATGAGAAGATGCCCTATAGGATATAATTTATTCCCCTGTTCCCATACAGAGATTGAACTGTGTCTGATTGTGGTAGTTGTTTGTATCCGAAGAAAATCGGTGATTTCTGCTCCTTGATGTGATTAAATCTGTTTTGGCTAGTTAACTTCTTTTACGACCTTGATCAAGCTGATAAAATCATTGAACTTAATTAAGGGTCCTTGAGTTGACTTACCTACTGATCTATATAGCATAAGGTTGACGCAACATATGAAATAGCATAAGCAGAAAAACTACATAGATAATGCAATGTTCAAATATTGTCTACTGTTGAAGTGGAAAGCTGTTTTATGAATCTTGTCTTCATTTATGTTTAATGCTTGTCAACTTTGGGTTGTAAATGGTCGATCTGTTTGTGTTCCATACGCATTTGTCTATTTCTGTTTTTTGCCTTATCCTAAACCATGTTTTGGATTTTCTGTGCTACATCTTACTACGCATTAATCATGTCAGCAACATAAGTCCGAACTCCACAATGGTTAATTTGACATTGAGCTCTTGTGTTATTTTTTATGCAGCAATCTTTGAAAACGGAGAGGGAGATGTACTTTCCAATGAGGAAACATGCCATTAAGGTGTAAGCGCGAAATTACATTATGATGGATAATAGATTCTAAATGCCTACCAAATGATATATTGTTTAACTCTCACTTT